CATGGGGAGGAGGGCTGACCTCCTGCTTCTCACTCCAAAGGCACACACACATGGAGCAAGGGAGCCCACGTACCTTAGAAACCAGCTCCCCCATAGCCTGCTGTGACCACGTTCAGGCAGAGGAGAGATGAATTCCTTGCCACAGCCAGCGAGAAGCGGAGTGAGTTACAGCACCCATAAAAGATACAATCTACAGAAAGAGGAAGGTGTGTATATCAGAGCAGGAGCACCCGGAGCCTGCAGCTGCACAGGGCGCTCGCCCCGGGGGCAACAAACAGGAAAATTAAGACAACGGAGGAGCATCCATCACTTGCACATTCCCAAGGCTGGAGGACCCTGGCTCCAAGCATTAATAATTCCCAGGAAAGGGAGGAGGCGGCATCCCCGCCATGGGCACAGGGAGCACGTTTGAATCCACAGCCTGTCTGCTTTGCGTGTCAGCAAAGAGTGATTGGGAAGCAGCAGGGAGTCCAGTACAGCAGGAGGCTGCTCTCAGAGCAAACCAGGATTGTATTAGAACAGCCTGTGTCCCCTTGCTCTGCCTGCAGCATCCTGAGTGGGCAAAGGGTGGGAGCCACAGTGCTGCTCAGGGAGTATGGACAGCACCATGGGGCCGTGGTCCACCCCGAGCATCCACGTGAGGTGTCTGTGGTTAAGGCAGGGGATAAACCCCTAAATTCTCACTGCAAGGACAGCACCAGACAAAGATGTTATCCCAGCAATCACAGCATTTATCTGCCCAGTGCAAACAGAAACAAGTGACAGGCAATAGCTTAGATAAGAGGGAGAAAAAAGGCCCACACTCTGCCATGCCCCCCCCAATAGCACTAGTGGAGACGCTGGGATAGCTCCTCACCCTGCCAACCCTGTGCCATCACCTCTGGCTGCATGGGTTGGTGACTTTCCTCCCCTCTTCACCTTGTTTAGCATAAGCCTGCTGGGCATGGAGGAGGCCTGGGATCCTGCAAGCCATCTTCTGCCCATGGTAGTACCTGGCAGCAGAGGGAAATACAGCTGAAATGCCTGTTTGCACAGCACACAGCCCAGTCCCTTTACATCATTCCCTGCACAGAACCAGGTCTCACCCTGGCCTCCCAAAAACCCACCAGAGGCTACTGTGCCTCAAGGCAAACCAGCTCAGTAGAGCAAATAGTGCCAGGCACAGGACTTAATTTACTTGGAGAAGGTTGTGGGGTCCAGAGGATGTGAGTTAGATGGATGGTTCAAAGAGCTGGCTCATTTGTCTTGCTGCCCTGCTGAAAACACACGTATGTTGTGCCTCTCTGCAGGGTTGTGAGTGCTCCCATGCAGCACAGGGGTTCTGCTCAAGTTCTGCTATGAAATAAAGCCCTCACAGCCAGCCCTGGCCAAGCTCTGTGCCCTGCACCCAGGTTCCCATGAACTCCTCCAGCTTCCTGAAGGAACCAGCAGAAGCCTGTGGCATGCACCAGTACCCAGCTCCACGGCACAGCATCCTGCCATTGCCATGGAAACTGATGATGCTGGTGGTGCTGCCAAGCTGGCAATCAGCGTGGGGGGACCAGCATCACCCACATCCCTCGGAAGGGGCTGGAGGGGGTCGCCCTGAACAAGCTCTCCTGGAGGCTGAGGGGCTCAGAAAACCTTTTCTACCAGCGTTTGGAGGGCACATGCAAACAGGACAGAGAAGCCCCATGGTATTTCCCAGTCATCAACCACTAATCCCCCCCAACACAGGGAAAGAGCTCCCCTGAGGGCTGGTGAAGCCCCAGCAAATATCATCTTCCGTGGTATTTCATCTGGCCCAGTTTGAAATCACACTGCCCTCTTTTCATCCCTCCTTCAAGAAAACATCGGGATCAATTAATTTCAAATCTGCTTTGCAATTAAAAGGAAATGAAAGGTCACTCGGGTCCCTGCAATGGGCTGAGCTTCCTCCAATAGCATCCTAACAACTCATCCAGGGACAGCAGCCGGCTCTGTTTGCCCTTGTCCCAGGGAATTCCCAGCAGAGCTACCGAGCTGGTTTACAATGCAGAACATGGAAAAGAACAAGTACATCAGTTGGAACCTCTGCTGCTACTCATTATTGGGAGGGGGGGCACGCACACAACACTGCAAAAAGCACAAGAGCAGCTGGGCAGAGCCTGGTCCTGTCATGGCCGCATCTGTGGTACCATGGATCCACACTGGCACCAACAGCCCTTCCCACACGTTTTCTCAGCCACAATCCTCAGGGAGCACTTACTCAGACTTGTGAAAGAACAAAAGAACTTGCCCTAGGCAAATATTAGGACCCAGACACTGAGCTGATTAGAAATAGCCTAGCTTTAAAAGAAAAAGTCCCTTTTCCACCCAGATGCTGCATTGTGCAGTGCCAATGGCAGCTCACGGGCTGATGGGAAGGGTTCAGCTCTGACATGAGTGGGGAGGCAGTTACAGCAGCATACGCTGTTTAATGCTGGTATGACATTTAACTGACAGAATCAATCATCGTTGCTCAGCACTTTCACCATATGTATCTGTTTTCTATTTTGTCCCTGGAGAAATCCCAAGCAGCACAGATGAACAGCCTTAAAGACATCTTTAGGTTGAAATAAATGGAGAAGAATCCCCATACTTCATGAATTTACAAAGCAATGAGCATACAATGCCCCATTCTGCAAACTGGGTACCCCTCCTGATGGCTCCAAGTTGGAACCAGCACCTGACCAAGCATGTGCAGCACGGATGTGCCAGCCAGCAGAACGGGGCTATCCATCAGAGCCATTCCTAAAGCCTCGCAATAAAACAAAGTGCCAAATGGAATTATAAACCACTGCTGGTACACTCGGGGCCGGCTGGGAAGCTGTAGCATAAATAACAGGTCTGAAGCAGGCTCTGAGCTCGGTCCCTGAAGGCTGCTGCTGTCAGATGGGAGTGATGCTGCAAGGAGCCAAAGAAACTGCCCTGGCCAAAAGTGGGGCCGTGCTCCTGCCTGCATCCCAGCTTCTGCACCTCGCAGAGGAATCCATACTGGAGAAGCTGGCAGTTTGCTTTTCACAGTGAGAATGAGACCAGCATCCTCTGGCCTTGCTACAGCCAGGCTTTTGGGCAACCTGAGCTTGATACCACCTTTAACACTTGTTGCTGATGAAGGCTTTCCTCTACCTCAGCATGACGCAGGCCATCCCAGGACGTGCCTGGGAACAGGCATCAGCCCTAGGGATCTATATTTCCACGGAGGAAAGAGCTGCTTCCATCTTCATGGATCACTGGCAGCAAAACTTCTGCTGCTGGAAGGATACAGGAGTTTGAGAAGGGACAGTTTCAGCCTCTCCAAAGAGCCTGAGCACCACTGAATCATCACAATCTTGTTGTCTGTCCTCTTCTTTTTCTTGTATTCATCTGAAGCAGTTCACTTAGCTATCAAGGCTAAACAAGGAATCTATGAGGACCATATGCTCCCAGCTACGTTGCAGGAGCCCAGGACTAATTCCGATCTTGAGCCTGTCTTCGGGCCATCTGTTCGCAGGATCGCACAAGACAATGTGTCATTATGGCTGGGAATTTGCATAACTGCTGTGGAGGAATTGTGCCCAACTCTATTCATACCCACCACAATGAGTTTTCTCACGCTGCAGGAAGGGGGCAGGAATTCCACGTGAAGCCAATGAGCATCACAGCCGCGTTTCCCACGAGGGGCCCGGGAACAGGCTGAGCATCCATGGGACACCGGCAATGCCACCCCCTCTGTCCTTCTTCCCCATCCGCCACGCTTTCAGCTGCGATCTGGCATGCAGAAGCCAACCCACACTGAAGGGCTGAGCTTCCAGCTGCTGCCACTCCACCTTCCCTGCGAGGTTAATGCATTAATTCTCCCGGCTGTGGCAACAAAAGCTTAAATAACCGTGTAAATAATACATTGCAGCAAAGGCTGGAGGAGTGACACCGCGCTCGCTGCAGCCCTGGGCCCTCTCCCTCCGTATCAGCTGCAGAGGATGCGATGGCAGCAAGAGATAGAGCCAAAATCCCCCAGCAGACACGCGGCCTCCTCACAACAGGTAGAAACCTGAGGAATCCAACCCCCCTCTCGCTGCATCCTTCCAATTCCTCGTACCAAGCCCCAGCCGGAGCAGCCAGAGGAAGGGAGGCTGCAAGGCTTCAGCCCCAGCTCCGCTCCACCTCCCCTTGGCAAGCGGGAGAGCCAGCCTGGAAAGCCTCGCCCGAGGCTTCATCATCTCCAGAAGCACAATAGCCCTTTAACGATAATTACAGGCTTTCCGGCAGCTTTGTTGTTCCGTGGGGCTGGGACGTTTTTGGTAGCAATAGGTGCTGTTTAAGTACTTGAAAGTATGGCACTTAGCAGATGTCTTGGGGTAAATGGTAGGTTAAGCCACATCGAGAGCACCGGCGGAATGAGCGCTAATTTACGCTCACATGATTCAATTTGCATGGTTAATTCTATTTAAAGCAAACATCCCGCACCCGCCGGAGCTCCGAGAGAGCCATCGCTCTCATTTTGTCTTCTCTGCAACACTTTGGAGAACAAAATGGTCGGGATAATAGAACTAGTGAACATTTATGTGCCCCGGGGGGGGGGGGGGACTTCCATAAACACGCTCCCCCTGAGAAGCACCGGCCGTACCTGCACAAAGCCTCCCACTGCAGGCACAGCCACCATGAGGAGGTTAAATGAGTGTCCTTCAGCCATGGCTATTGCTCCATCAGTCTGAGCACGCTGCAGATGGGGCTGCTCCCACCAGCCCACGGGGTTCTCACTGCCTGTGACACACCAAGAGCACCCAGCCTCCTGCAAGAAGGCACCAAGCAGACAATAAACCCTCCCTCTTGCACCTGCAAGCCAAGACATGCATCTTTCACTTCAGTTTAGTCATGTGGGTAACAATACATGCAATTGAAACATCTCTAATTTGTTCCCAATTAGGATTCTGGAAAACTCATCACAGCACCATGGCTCTTTGCCATCTGGGTGTTGTTTGACCTGTTCTGCACCACCTGGGATTTCCCCCTCAGACTGATGCTGGGAGGATGGAAGGCAGTGGCTGCGTTTGCTTTTCAGCATCAATATTGCTTCTTAGCTGAATAACAGCAATTCTTCATCGCAGTGCCTCAAGTTCTGCGGGGAGCAGAAGGCCTGTGAACGCCCTGGATGAGCGGAAAAGCATAAATTACCTCGGAGATAATAAACCCAATGTAAACAGTATTTACAGCTCATTAGAGCGGTGATGCTGTGCACGCAGGGCAACCCGCGCAGCCAGGAGCCGGAAGAGGAAGGCGTTTGCCCGTTCTTCCCTTCCAGCCTGAGAAAGGAGACAGCAGAACGTTGGAAGAGCCCCCAAGCGCTGTCCTACAGGATACTCACACCAGCACAGGGTGTGCTTTTCCTCTCACAGGGCCGAGGAGAAGCGCTGCGTCACGCCGGCAGCCCGAGCACAGGCATGATTTGGGAATTACAGGCGTCGAGCACTCAAAAGCAAGGATCAGAGGAAATATTTCACAACCAACCAACGGGGCTGAAATCTTTCCAACTGAGAACAAATTTGCAAGACTCCAAGCTGGCGTCTGGACTGTTTGTGAGCAGTGAAAGGAACCAAATGCAACAAATGAATTGCTCGCTGCAAAGCGGCTCAAGAAACTACCCAGTAATACCAACCTCCTGCAAATTGCTAGGTAACTACGCTGAGCAGAGCCAAAAATAAGCCCTCCTGTGACTTGTGCTGACAGTGTTTGGAAGAGTGAAATAACAGCGCTTCAGCATGGCACGGGGCATGGGCTCTGCAGAGCAGCACCAAACAGCTCCATCCATGGCACCAAGGGATGGGTGGGCAATGCACCCATCAGTCTCCAACAGCTCCAGGCTCCTTTGGGTGGGAATGGGGAAGAACGATACATGGACATTTGTGATAATGGCAAAAAAAAAAGGAGCTCTTGGGGTCCTTCCTAAATCAAGCGATGCTGGAGGGACCCCTGCCCCAACCCGCAGCTTCCAGCCCATGCACCCCCACTGCACTGACTGTGGTGGCAAATCCTTCAGGAACATAGCGTTCACCAGGGATATAAATAATAACACCCAGCCATCTCTCAGGTACTTCTTGAGAAATGTCGTATTGTTGCCATGGAAGTTTAGGAAATATCCTGATTAAATCAAAAAGGCACCATAAATTGCCGAAGTTGGAATTCTCCGGGATGAAAAAAGAAGCAATTTTGTACCCTGTCAGCAGAATGTAAATGAACGGGCTGGATGAATTAGTGCACGATAAACTTTTTAACGGCGAAGTTACAATTTAAAGCAGCAGCAGGAGCTGGGGAATGATTTAAGATTTATAAAAACAAAAAGGTAGCAGCACTCTAACACCATTCAATTATGGCCTGCACCATTATCCATCAGCATCTTCTACCATCTTGTGGGATCAGACATCTTCCTTCCACAGTGCCAAGAGGGTTGTGTTCCCAATGCCTCCTGGCTCGCTGTGCCTGGCATGGGACCGTGACACTGCCCCAGTCCTGCAGCCCCAGTTTGGCTTCTGGCAGAGGTTTTTGCCGAGCTGTGCATTGACCAGGCGTGAGCAAACAGACATTCACATGGGAAAGGCGCTGGGATGGACCTGGGGAAGAGCAGCCACTTCACCGGGCACTACTGCGAGCACAAAGGGGCTCCCTGCAAAGGCAGAGCCAGGAGATGCTCAGCTGGGAACATCCGTCCCACAAGTCCCTGCCTGTCCCCAATTCGGGGCTGAGCCCCCAGCACATCCCTGTGCGCAGCCCAGAGATTTCCTCTAATTGCTTCGCGCAGCTTTATCAGTGCCACGCCATTCCCCCGGTGCCTCCTGCTCCGCATAATGGGATTAGCCACAGCCCCCGACAAGCTCCGAATAACAATGGGCTTGGTTTTGTTTTCGGTAACCACAATGACTCTGCTGATCCGAGCGATTAAGGCTGCTCCGTGGAGAGAAACGGGTTGATGGCTGCATCATCCAGGTCCCTGATCCTTTACTTCTGCTGCAGAGGTGGGAACACCGCGTGCTGCAGGACGGATTCCCACTGCTCCAGCAACGAGGCTCCGCAGGGACTTATCTGGCCTTGCCTCGGATGCTATTCTGGGAAGTTGGCAGAGCACCATCCAGCTCCACTGGTCCTCCCACAGGCCTGGCAGGGTCGGGGCTGCGGATGCTCGGAGGTCCCACATCGCATCCCAGATTAAAAGCACAGCCCATGGCTGAGCTTCTGCATTTCCCGTGGAGAAAGGCACCGTGTCCTCTATGAAGAGCTCGGCAACGCCACCATGGCAGCAGCCAGCAGTGCGGCAGGATGAAATTAGTCACAGGAAAAGCCCTGCCTCTGATCTGGTGGCTGAGGCACCAGCACCGTGCAGGAGCGTAGCTGGGAGGTTTGTGGATGCCTCTTTGCACCCTTACACAGGCTTGGTCTCCTTGTACTTGGGGATATTTCCAGTCCACCGCACCCCACTGCATGGTGCTGTGGGGTGGTTCACTCAGCAGAAGGGATGCAGAGCATCTCCCCCATCACTTGGCATTCCACATGCAGCCTCTTCAGCTCCGCCACTGCAGAACCGGCGGCACAGCGGGTGGTCTCACTCAGGGCCAGAGGTGATGACAACAGCGCTGAAATACAGCCACAACCATTTGATCATCCCTCTCATCTCTCATCCCCAAGAGCGCTGGATGCTCTAATGAGGCTCCTCCAGGGCAGTTCAAGGCAAACACACCCCCCCACCCTTCCATGAGCCGGCCTCCACACCAACCCAGCCTCCTCTGCAGGGAGCCGGGCACACCGAGGCTTCTCACAGCGGTCACTTGGTGGTAAATGGCCACATGGAGCCAGTTTCACACTTGTCCTGAGGGTCTCATCCTCCACTGCAGCTGCTGCCATCGGTCAGTCGGTATCAGTCAGTCCGGCCATCGCTCCCACAAGCCCCAGCCCTGGGTGCTGGCTTCGTGGGATGCTGGTGGGAAAGCTGCTCCGGCAGCACCACGGAGCACAAGCGATGCCATGAGTCAGTAATTGCAGAACTCATTTTTAGACAGCGCTGCAAATGTGCCTATTAACATCAGCTCGCATCTCCTCCGAGTGATTTACCTGTTTCATTTTATTCACCGAATTAAACACAAAAATAGCAGGATCAGTGCAGACCACTGCTATCGACCTGCGAGGAGCAAGCACATCCATCACTCCTCCAACCCATCACCCTCCTCGCTCCCGTGCAGCATCAGGAGCAGAATGAGGTGCCTGCCCTAGGCAGGTCACTGGCTGTGGATGGGACATTGGGTTCCACGGATGCCTGTCTGCCTCCCAGAGAGCCAGACATCACCGGGAGTGATTATTTGAAGAACAAGGCCCTTTGTTGTCCCATTCGTGACATCTCTCATAGCATGCCTGGGACATTAAAGTTCTTCTAAATCATTGCTGGGTATAATATTTTGCCACTGATACTGCACATAATATTCGTGTTTGATACTTGCCTGTTATCTAATGGTACTCTGTAAAATTACAGTGACACTAATGCTTACCACCCTTATTGAATGGAAAAATCAAATTAAAGATGAAGTATCATCGATTTTGTTACGGGCTCCAAGGTGCCAGGGAGTCAATTGACCTTTCTTGAAAAAACAAGGAAGTAGAGATGTTTCTGTTGCTTTTTATCACCTTCCTCATGCTTATAGTAGCTTCTTTGGGGGGTTATTTCCTGCCTCCCTACGTTACTGTTGGTTTTCTTCTGTAAAGGCACAACACAACCAGAGTGCTACAACCTGGGGGCAAAATAGGACAATTCTCCACAAAAAGATGAGGACAAAGATGGCGAGAACCACTCACAAATGTACAATCTAGGGTGAAAAAACCCAGCAAGCAGCTTGCAGAACCACAGCTCATTCCCCATGCTTTGCACAGGGCTCTGGATCTCAGCCCCAAGGCACCAGGATGAGCACCTACAGCATCCAGTGCATCCCTGGGCCCTGGCTTCATGCTGCGTGGTGTGGAAAGCTAAACCCATGCTAAGGCATCGCTAAGCCCTGGAAGTGGAAGCTGCTGCTACCACTTCCAACCCTCTCACAGAGCCCGAGAACAACCTCCTACATGAGAACACTCCTAGCAAAGTAATGATGCTGGAAATTCATGACAAAACGCAACAAGGAGGGGTAACTTTGTTATCAGGATTTGCACCCCTTGACAGTCAAACTTTCCTCTTATTACAGATGGAAAACTGTTTTTTTCCTCATGAATGGCCTGAGGCTCTACAAATGTGATTAAAGATGGAACAACTGCTGGAGGACTCATGCGTATCGAGAGCAGGTGCAGCATGCCATTGAACTGAGTGCCAGCACCTACCAGCAGGCACAGCCTGTGACTGGGAGCTGTGTGCTGATGCCATGGCATGACTGGAGCTCCAAGGAGGAAAAGCAGCTTCATGCCATGCAACCAGAACCATGCAGCCTCGAGCAAACCACTGAGACAGCCTCCACCTGCATTCCCCATCGCACCGCTCTCCATCCTCCTACCTTTCATCACCCATCCTCGCCTCTTGGGACTGCAGCAGGTCCTGCTTCTTGCTCTCGTCTTGTGGAGCATCTGGAGAGGAGGTGGAGTCCTTGCGGGTGCCTCCTGCAATAAAAGGGTCACCTCTGAATCTGATGATGCCAGCACAAATGTCCCGAGCACCCAACTTTGGCTCCGTGTTGTTTCCTTCTTCAGGCTCCCGTCCCCAGCATGCAGAATGAGACTGCTCCCTCATTAAATGGAGGGCAGCTTTATCACTGCTGATTGCATTAACCTAATAATACCTGCGTCAGGCAATCAGAAAAGAGACTGGAAGGTTTTCTGTTTGTTTGGTTTTTTAAATAAAGGCTGGTCCATGAAGTATTGATTAGATTAGAGGATTAAATTAAGCAGTGACTCAATCAAGTGCAGAGGCTTGCAAGGGAGTCTATATGCAGAACACCAATACAAAGGCCACACAAAGAGAATTCAGAAGGCTTTGGAGCCCAGCAAAGACAAAGCACACACCATGGAGAAGAGCAAGGTGCAACACAGCCAAGAGGTAGAGCATCCTTCATGCCACTACAGCCCATCATATACACCAACAGAGCTTCCTGCTGTCAGAGGGAATCCAGAGGAAACCCTGCACTTCTGACACAGCCCGTTTTCTCCCTACAGTTAACGCCATACACAGCTTTATCCCATTTCCCCCCTGCATTTCCAAGCTCCCTCCCTGTGGATGGGTTTTCTTTGATTTCCCTACTGGGGAGGGCCCGGCTGTAGGTTTCCATGGGGCACAGGGAGGCTGCACGTCACGGCTCCGGAACCCTGTGATCCTGGGAATGTGGGAGTCCATGCGCGCCTTCCATGGAGTGTCATTATAAGCTGTTAAAGTGATTTCTCAGTGGTGATGCTGAGAAACTGTTGCTTCTATTTTTCCTCACTCTCCAAGCAAATTCTGATCCCGCACCAGAGATGAAAGCTGCACCATGAGGGGATGCAGGAAGCTGCTTGTTGTGGTTATCAGCTTCTCGTCTCCTCCAGGCTGGGTCAGCTTTACTTGGACTGAAATTGTCACCAGAAGACAAAAAAAGATCATCTTTCAGCTGGTATAAGTTGGCAGATCCCAGCTGAAGTTAATGAACTGATTTTAGCTTACATCACCCAAGTACCTCACTGGAAACTGTCATAGCCAGACTAAGAAATGATCCAGGAACTTTTTCTTCCTGATAAAACCAAGATCAAGGGGCTTTTTTTGAGCTTTATAATGAAATAAATATTGATGCCTCTTTGCTTTACATAAGCCTGGGAAGGATGCACAAGGCAGCAGCCCAAGCTCTCCGGCGCTTCCCACCCTGCCCCAGGCGCAATCCCAGCTCTCCCACAATATCATTCATGGAAGGGCTGGATTTGGACATTCCCTTGGGCTGTCCAGCGGCTGCTCCATTAATCCCACGAGGGACAGTGCAGCACACAGCGGCAGCACTTGAGACTCCCAGGAGCTCCAGATGCCCACCCCAGGACCCCGGCTCAGCGGGTTCCAGGCACCAAACCAAGCGGCAGAGGAGTACCGGCAGCCCGGTGATGCGAAGGAGCTGTCTGCGGCGTGAGGAGGAGCAGGTTAGCTCAGCGCTGGTGCGTTCTCCATGCTGCTGCTGGGGAATAAACGCATCTGACAGGCGGCAGGCGATGCCAGCCAAGTCTCTGGAGCAGCCGGGATTCCCCATCACATAAATGAAGATTAGCAATAGGCCAGAGGCTGACATGCCACTGCCTGGGGCCGGTGCCGCTCTGCAGACCAGGAGCAAACCAGAGCTGATGAGCATCATGGTGCTGCTCAACCCGGGTTCCTGCAGTGCCACTGAGAGAAGTGCTCAAGAAAGAGCTCGGGGACACGCTGTGCTCCACGGCCATTCCGACTCGGAGGCCCACGTCCGTAATTAGGAAGCTGCTTGCGTTTTCAGTGCAGTAACCCCTAAGTCACCTGGGGCGATGAACCTGCTCCCTGTGTCAGGGAGGGCATGGGGTGAAATGGGCAGAGGACAAGGAGCCAAGAGCATCCTCCAGAAGCGATTCTCTTGGGCCGCTGGTGACACAAAACCAACCTGGGTCACATCTCTTTCTGTGCCTCATCCAGCCTGGCACACGTCAGCAGCACCACACTCCCCTTTTAACACAGACACCCGTTTACAGTCTTGATGCCTGGCCTGGAACCACGTTCCTTTTTACCATGACTTGAAAGGAGAATGATGTTTTATACCAACTTCCCATTTTAGTTTCCAGGGTATTAAGAAATGAAACATTAATGGAATGGAAAAAACGAGCGGAGCGTTCAGCTACTATTTACCAAATTGTTCCTGTTCATCTCCAGGAGAGGAGGAAAAAATAGGAGCAAGAATAAATCTGTGCCTAGAAACATACCATTTCTCCAGTGCATGCATGGCTGACAGCCGCTAAGTACGAATGGATAAATATTTTATGTACTTTAATTTCCTCATCTACGAGCTTGATGTTCTGAGCCTCTCTTTGCTTTATTTTGCTACTTCATAAATGTTAAAAGCGTTTATCCTCTTATTCTTTCCAACACAAGGAAGACTTTTGCCAGTCTCTGCTCCTGTTCCATTTGCTTTCATCTCTCTATTAGCATAGCAGAATAGCACATCACCTGCAGGTTTCTCCCTTCAGTAATTCCTCCTTTCTGTTGTTTTCCTCCTTCCTTTGGTTGCATCCTTATCGCCTGCACTCCCATCTCTGGATTATTCAGGAGCCAGAGTGTTTGCACGTGTTTTGTCCCAGCTGCTCATTGAACCCTACAGCCTATTGAGAGCCAGCTTGGCTTTTTCCTGTGGTTATTTCACTTCCCCTTTTATGATTGTCTCCTTTCCCTTGCTATGCCATCCCATTTTTCCCCCTCTCTGTTCCCCAGCTCCCACAACTCCTGCATGCCGTGGCCATGGTGCTGGGCATTTTATCCATCTTGTATTGGTCCTTCTTTCAAGGAAAAGATAGCTTCTGGAACATTCCCACTTCCGTATTCCTTCAGGAAGAGATAGCAGCATTCACATCAGCTCCCATGGCCAAGAGCTGCTGCCCTCACCAGTGTCCGGTCAGAACTGACACCAGGCTCAGTTCTCCTGGGAGGGAGCTGCTGTTGGGAGCATCCCACCAGTTGGGAATGCTGGGACATCACTGGGCTGCAGCTTTCCTTTGAGCTGCCCCAGAGCCTCAAAGAGCTTCTGGCAGCTCTGCAATGCCACAGCAACACCAAGGCAAAAAACCTCCCTGCAACTAAAAGGTTTAATCCTTCCTAAATGGGGCAGTAGCAGGAAAAGAGGGCCGATGGGTGAGGACTGATGTCACCACGCTGAGCGACAGGGGAAAGCAATAACAGAGAAAGGGGAGCATGAACACGGATTAATCACAGGCAGAGCTCAATAGGAAGGTCTCAAGGTGGGGTAAGATAAGCGGAAATACCTCCCAAAGTGGATAACTGTCAGGAATTTGGGGCGTTACCGGCACCGCCTGCGTGCCGGAGCTCCGGTGCTGCCTTAGCCTTTCCTGGCGATTTGCTAAATTTATTCTTCTGCAGTTCCTAACGAAATTCAAAGCTCATCATCACCCAGTGGGTTATTTCCATTTGTCTGCTTTAGAAGTGGTTTTAGAAAGCCTCAGATACTTTTAATTAGCTTTAAATTTCTCAGCTCCTTCCCTCAACCTGTGATTACTGTTTAGCAGAACCGGGTCTGCTGCCTTCCCTCCCTCCTCAGGGCTAAAAAATTCCAGTTTTCTCCACACCAGCCATTGCTTCTGAGAAATTTGCAGTTGTGAGTCTGGTTCTTGAGGTGCCTTTTCTTTGCCCATCACAACCTAATGGTACTGGAGCTCAGGATGCAGGGAATGCTCTGCTCTTCCACAAAACCCCTCCTCACAGGCAGCTGGGGGGGGGGGTATTTCAGGAGACTCTTCCCCACTTCCCAGGTAGCTAAAGCAGAATTCCAGCAGCACTCAGTTAACCTGTTCACCAGCAACCGGCACATCAGAGCCTGGACCACTCCTACAGCCAGGGCCATGCTCTGTGCTGTCCCTGCCCTCACCCAACCCAGCCAAGAGCCCATCGCATCCCACTCCCACCTGCTGGTCGCCAGGGATTCAGAGGCTCATCTGAAGCAAGCCCATTCATTTTAATGGAATCATAGAATCCCAGGGATGGGGCAGCCACAGCTTCTCTGGGCACCCTGTGCCAGCGCCTCAGCACCCTCACAGGGAAGAGCTTCTGCCTAAGAGCTCATCTCAGTCTCCCCTCTGGCAGGGTAAAGCCATTCCCCTTGGCCTGTCCCAAGCCCCTCTCCAGGTTTCCTGCAGCCCCTTCAGGCACTGGAGCTGCTCTCAGGTCTCCCCTTCAGGAGCCTTCTCTTCTCCAGGCTGCCCCAGCCCAGCTCTCTCAGCCTTGATCTCCAGCCCCCAGTCAACAGGAGCTTTGGGCATATCAGAGGCACAAGGACTCACAGAGCATCCCTGGAGCAGGTTGAGCAGCACCCACCTCCATTCACACATGTACCAACCCCTGCGTGTGCCCAGCACGTGTCCATCCAGCACCATCACGGTCTGCATGGGATTAAGCTCAGAGATGCCTGGCAGTGCTCATCACCGAGACAAGCCCTGCCACTGAGAACTGGCTTGGATTCCAGGAGCTGTGCGTGCCTTTGTGCCAACTGCGAGCGCTGTCAATGTGCAGGAATAGTCAAATCCGATTACTATGGAAAATATGCAGGGAGGGGAGCATGGTGTGAGCTGACACAATGTGTTAAGGTGCTACCCTGGGCTTGACTGCTTTCTGACTGTTATAAATCCCACAGCAGTAAAGAAAGAGATACATATCCAAGGGTTATTATTGCCATAAGCCCTTCCGCTTGAAATAGATTTGTCACAAGAGCTCTAGATATGAAGTTTCCCTGCAAATGAATAGGCCCTTTCACAAGGGGGGGTTGCATCCTGTCTGTCCTGTGGGAAAAGGTAAAACCATTCCAGCTTTATTCAGACCAAGCCCTCCTGCACACAGACATTGGTATCACTGGTACTCGCACCCAAAGCGATAGCCAGGGAGCTGAGCACAGCCATGCAGGCTCTGGGACAAACACTGGTGAGGAGGAGGCTCCCCTTGCATTTATCAGCAGTGGAAAGGGGACAGAGAAAAGGACAAGAAGCAGCACCAGCATCTTCCAGGGGACCCATAAAGAAGCAGAACTAAAGCCATGGCAGGCTGCTGAGGTGTGCACTAAGCCCCATGTCCCCGCCCCTCCTAAAGCCAGGCCAATTAATGATCCATATTAATAATCCTGCCCCAGAAAACCCAGACAGGAGCTGCAATCAGAGCAAGATCTCCACAGGAGCAGCCCTGCAAGCTTGATTTCATGGCATGCAAGGGGCAAGACTCACTGCCAGTCAGTTTGCACAGTCCTTTCCTCAACTATGGGCTGCAGGATGAGGCACGGTAGCTTAAAGAGCACTCCCAAATCCTCTGAGGCAAGTCACATCACTGACATGTTTGATAATAACAGTTAATTACCCCTTTATTGCACTGAGCCACCACAAACGGGAGAGTGCACCCAGTTCTCCATGATACACTTACAGATAGTGATGGTAAGTAGAGGAGACAAGAGGCACCACGCTCGTCAAGGCAGGGAGCAGCACATCCCTCCTCAGAAGGGCCCTGGGCACTGCTGTCAAAGCAATAATAGCAACCACAGAGCAATTTGCTACCCTAGAACAAATGATACCTGCTAATGTAAAGGCATTTCACTTCCCCTCCGAGTAATTACCTTTCTGAGTCTTGTAAAAGGGCTGTTGAAGACTTGTTTATCCAAGCAATAAGCAGTGCATCTTCTCTTCCGCTCCCCGAGCACGGTGACAGAGCATAACCAGCCCCTTACCTCAGACAAAATGCTGCCGAGCTGCCCAAAGGGGGGTTTTAAAGCCTGAGGCCTGATTAACAAAGTGGAAAAACCTGTTTATAGCTCAAAAAAGACATGGAGAAATCACTGCAGATCAGCCCCAATGGGCCCAGGCTGGCAGAGCTGGGGGTAGATTCAAGTTTGTGTTAAGTAGACGCATCCTGTATTTGCTTCTAGCGTTTCTGGATGCTGCATGACTGCAGGATCTCCCTTTGGGAGATGAGGAGGAACCCTAAAACCCACCCAGATGCTAACATGAATGCAGGTGGAGTTACTAAACCTGTGAACAGCCACGTGGGTGTGAGAGACACGATGGGGAAGGACAGATGCACCTCCTTTGGTTTGGGAGGGCTCATTTAAGGGCAAACAGACTAAAATCTATCTCTCACTGGGGGAAAAGTATTGATAAAAGGTAAAAAATAGAGCTCTGTAAAAAGAGAGCAGCCAGAGGAGCTGCTGTATGGAAAAGGGATGGAAAAACCAGGCGGGGTGCTGTGGTCATGACAGGGACGGGCAGCGCACGAGGGCGGTTTTGTCCACGGAATCCGTGCTCTGCTTTGAGGCTTTAAAAGCTCTTTAACACGAGAGGAGCTTTGACGGACCCAGCATTTCCAAAGAGGAACGTGGTGTAAGGCCAGAAACAGTTTCCTCTACACGGTCAGCTCCTTGGCAGAGCCGTGTCTTGTACTTGTGCACCCAAAGGTGCTCTTAACCCCAGAGGAGGAGGGGAAGTGGGGCTGATGCAGGGTGAGCACCCAGCAAAGGGCAGCTGGGAGCAGTGGATTTAAGTGTTTTCCTCCCTAGTGAGGAGGAATTTGTTCCTCCGGAAAGGCTAAGGACAAGGAGGGAGAGCTTCAAAGTTCCTCCCGAAGCCACCGAAGCAGAATTTTAATGGGGAAGCAAACAAAAATATGAAAGTGAATAGAACAAACAGGGATAAATAATTCATGAGCATGAAAGTGAAGAAAGGGAAGTTAACCGAAACAAAGGGAACCACGCGTTTCCCACAGATGAGGTAGCTTGATCAAAGCTCTTGCGAAACTAAAGCCGAAGGCTGAGCACCCTGCTGGGGGGATGAACACCGCGGCTTTGATAGCGCCCTGCGGGTGGCCACGGGTGCGCATTGGGTGCTCCCCGGCCCGTGGGTAGCCTGGGCTTGGGGTGCTCCCTCCCTTGTGCATCATCCGGGATGCACCTCGGGTCTGGGGAATGCAGTGGGAAGCCGGTCAGGTGTACGGTACCCATGGAGAGCCGCTGTTTCACTGACACCTTTGATACCTCCCACAATAAACTTGATTGTTGTCAGAATCAAAAGGACGACTACCCCCTGCATCCCAAAGGGATGCTGCTGTCCAGTGATGCTAACAGCCTCCGGGCTCGGCCCTGCTGGGTGGTTTTGGGAGGCTGCTCCCTCCACCAACGGAGAAATATTGCAGCACTAAACTCAATGTTCAGGTTTCCACTGCCCCCGGGGTGCTGCACAGCAGCATCTCACTTACAGTAACTCCCTTTTATGTGTTACCTCCCTACCTCTGCTGCCTTGGAGATAAATCCTCAGGAAAACCTTGTGCCACGCTCCAGGATCCAGCAATGGCACTCGGGGCTGGTGTGACCAGTGGCCAGAAGCACCTTCACCCCTCAACCGGGTGCCCCTCGCTGCCCTCCCGGTGAGCGAGTCACCCCAATGAATCACTGCTCCCTGCCACTTGCCTTCCAATCTCCCTCCGTTGGGTAAATGAAAGACAAACTCCGCTGGGCCCAGGCAAACGGCTTCTCCTTAAATATTTTAGAGCCATTAACCTCTGGCCGCGCTCGGCGCCATCCAGCAGGTAATTGAAATGGCTCTGCCTAAGCAGAATTTTTGTGAGATCAATTATTTACTTCCAGCAGAAGGGTCTGGCTTCAGGCTTATTTATGATGCAGCTGTTGCTACCACCAGCTTCCTCAGCCGTGTTTATTCCAAAGCAGATAAAAGCTGGCTGATTGGAGATAAAGTTCTTGATTTTTCCAAAGTGCCGGATTGATCTTGTTGGCCACACTTGGAAATTGGGAGGCAATGGTTTCATTACGCTGTTGTCTTCCCTCTGTTGCTGTTCTGCAAATAAGCTACGCACGGCGAGCCGCCTAAAACTGGGGAAAGGAGCCGGTACGGAGATGGGAAAACCCGCTTTGCCAAGCAGAGCCCGAACCAGCCACAGCCACAGGATCCCCATCCTAGAGCTGCTCCCCTTTGGGGAGCATGGGAAGCGCCTGTGTCTGCCTCAGAAGGAGCAGGGAAGTTAAACCAGATCTTTCTTTTCATTAAGAATACAATTACTAAGGAAAGGCTAAAGGAAAAGGGGGGAAATGCATCAATAAGAGGAGACAATGTGGGACTCAATGAGCCTGGCTTGCCCACAGCAGCTGGCACAGGAGGGCACAAGTGCTGCTGCCCTCAGTGAGTTCACCGTGCTGCAAACCAGCTGTATTTGACCATATAAGTGGTCTTATTCAAAGCAGAGAATTAAGGTAATAACAGTTCTCCAGGAAGGAAAAGAGTTCAATTTCAAAGCCAAATTAAACAAAGCTTCCAATTAGAGCAGATGACGTTCCCAGTGAGCCGAGCGGCCTCTTCTCCTGCTCGGGCTGAGCTTCGTTTTCCCAGTCGGCTCTACTTTGTCACTGCGGTTGCTCCAAGGTGGCCATTCCTCAGCAATTGGCAGATATTGACCCAGGATGCGGGATCAGGATTGGCTTTTTCTCTCTGACACCAAAGGCTCTGATCACTCACACACGGCCGGCACAGCCCCATCCCCATGGAACAGCCCAATCCCTGCAGCACAGCCCAGGCAGCTCCTCGCACATCGCAGTGCTCTGGTTTGCTCATGGTGCTGTTCAGCCGCATCCCTGCCTGAGCATCTCCATGGCATCTCCCTGCCTGTACCCCATCTCTCTGCACGCACAAAGGCCAGATCTGCATTATTAAAGGAGACCCGAATGGGTTATTGGGTAGGTGTAGATGAAAATATTGATTTTGTGCTTGCAGGAAATAGCTCAATTAAGAAGATCTAATGGAAACGTGACCCTTTATCCCCGCTTTATCTTATATATCAGGAGCTAATATTCAACTCTTCCAATGGAGGAGAAAATCTGATCATTTTTCTTCTTATTTCCCCTCTTGCTGCGTGCTGCAAGACAGACTTGCTGAGCATGAAGAAATTCACCTCAAGCACACCTGACCTCCTGACTGATATATTGCTGCGAAGTGCAGGCAGGGAGAAAGTGGGGTGGGAAAAAGCAGATCCACTACAGCAAGGAAGCTCTGGTGCTGGTTCCTCCTTCTCTGCCTTCAGTCTCCTGCACACTGCCATTGCTCCCCTTAAACAAGGCAAAGCGAGGCACGCCGGTGTAAGTGGAGAGTTATCACCTCGCCTGCTGATCCCTGACTAGTTTGCTCATTGATTTCTCTCCAGACTACACGACAGAGATGCCACTTCCCAGTAAAGGAGGACTCTCCCGAGAGCCGATCCGTCCTCCTGACGTGACATGAATAGAGGTTCCAATAATGGGCAGTGTCGGGGGGAAACTGTCACCGGAGCAAGGGAGAGAAGACAGGATGATGGCTTTAATACGGATCTTTAAGGAACTCCGCTCACTGGGAATAACGTGGAGCTGACAGCCAGCATGAACTGCCCAGCCTGCGTGCAGAGGCGCCTCATCCCAAAGCACTGCGTGTTGCAGGGCTCCTGCTCATCAATCCCAAATCCTTCTGTATTAAACCAGCTCTGGAAGGGCTGTTGCGGAGTCAGCTGGCTCGAGGCTTTCTGCCTGCCAGCATTTTCGGGGGGAGCAGGGACACTGACACCTCCAGGGAATGGTTTTGGGGCTGCTTGTGCTGCTTTGGAAGAGATCAGAGAGAAAGATGCAAAAAGGGGTGGGCAGGTGGGGGGGGTGAGGGTGGCTACTTTCCCTTCCCAGCCCTGAAATTAGGAGAAGGGCACCAGGTGCTGGAAAAGGGTTTTAGCATAGAATATCAGAGACGTTTGGGTTGAAGGGACCTTAAAGCTCCTCCAGCTCCAACCCGTGCCACGGGCAGGGACCCCTTCCACTGGAGCAGCTTGCTCCAAGCCCCTGTGTCCAACCTGGCCTTGAGCACTGCCAGGGATGGGGCAGCCACAGCTTCCTCGGGCAGCCTGTCCAGGCTCTGCCTGTGTTCTCATATGGATAATGCAATTCCTGGTCCCATTTGTGCATGCAGGAGAGCCTGCCCTGTCCTTCAGACAGCATTGTGCCATGCATTATTCCCAGCTGGATCAGGGGCCAGGAGGGCTCCAGCTCCTGTTCTTAGCAGCACTGAGAAGCCCGAGGTGCTTCAGCTGTGCAGGGCCCGTCCCTTCAGGGGTTAATTATGTCAGAGGACTTCACTCATCAAAATCCCTGCTCTGGCAACTCATCCGGGATGGAATCCTCCGGCTCCGCACAGGTAACTTGCATCATATCCCAGTGGCACGGTCACGGCTGGGAGCTGGGGAATGCCGGCCGCTGCCGCTACCTGGGACGCAGGTGCCATCCTCAGAATCAGCTGGTTTAATTTCTCCTCATTTGACAGAGCAAATCCATGCTGGGAGCTTCACATCTTCAGCAGAGACAAGCAGAGGTTTGTAGCTCCAACTGCAGTGCACGCTGTGGCCTCGGCTCCATCCCGTTCCGCTCCGTTCCCAGGGGCATCTCCGGGATGCAGGAGCCAGGACCCTTGCCAGGAGGATGGCCCCGGTGTGTGTGTGTGGCATTGCCCTCTCCTGGGAGGAAACACAACTCCGTGCAGCAGCTCTCTGCGAGCAATGACAAGTCCCCATCTGATCAGACCCCGCGGTTGGCACAGCGGCCACTGGAAGGGCTGACAGCCACCTCCGTGGAGCAGCATTAATGTGCATCCCAGCAGGAGCAGGACCCGAGTGGCCTTGGCTTCTTGTGCAGCTTTGGACACGGTATGGATGCTTTGCTCATGCTG